GCAAAGGCTAAGGTGCCAACTGAACGGAAATTAACTAAATTAAATTCACACACCAATGGCTCAGCCATCTGGAGCAATTTGTGGTTCAGTGTCTTGCCCGAGGATACTTTGACATGCAGACTGGGGGGAGCCGGGTTTGGACCGAGGACCTTCTGATATGTGGACGACCGCTCTTTCCCTTGAGCCACAGCAGACATTTAAGACTGTTTTCAGTACTGTTTTTACTCTAATATCAGTGCGAGAAAACATGCTACATCGGAAAAATTTTATTAGATTTTACTTGAGAGAAAGGGAGGTTTTTAAGAGAAGATGATGAAACTAATAAAATTATACCTCGGGGCGAGTGCACTCATATATCTAATAATGAAGAAAATCAATGGCGGCCACTGATTTATCATCATCCATTTGCCGTAACTTCTTCATTTGGGCCACGAGCACAACTCAACTCTAACAATCTTTCGGAAATTAAGCCTTTTGTCAGTGAATTAAATACTACTACGATTTGTATTTAAATATAAACACAAATATCAGTTGACATGTTAAAAGTAGCATGCTATCGTGGCCTGTGTTAAGGTGAACAACGATGCAGACATGACTACAAACACAATCTAATCAAATTACTTTTATTCTGGTCCTCTGCACCACATGTCCAACCGATGTATGAGGGTTTCACTCATGTAGTGCTATTTTTTAATCAGCTTGCTTCTGTAGAGCATGAAGTTCACTTGGAAATGTATGCAAATACCTATATATGCCCACATTTACTGACATTTGACATGAAATTAAGATATTTAACACATCTGATTTGTTATTGACTCTGTCTAAGTATGCAAAACTTGTTTATGTCACAAAATCTGTCAAGCAAGAGAAGGAATGCTACAATGTTATTTCAGCTAATATTGCATTACTCAGGAAATGCCAATACAAAACAAAGAGTAAAGTAAGTAAGAAAGAAAGTAAAAAGGTGCAACGATAATCATGTTACAAATAATCCAGGCCAAACTGTTTTAAACACTATTAGACACATAGTTGCTGAAGAAAGGACTGCTTGGGTTGCTTGAATATGCAGTGCAGTTTGTGCTGAAAAGGCCAAAAAAGGATGAAAAAAAGAGTTTGGAGGAGATCCAGGCAACGTGGACTGTATAACCTACATAGGGAACTGGAGGTGAGAGGACTTTGTAAAACAAAGCCTCAGGTTAACCTCAGGTTAAGTAAGGTTGTTTATTTACCGGTATATCAGCCTAGGGACACGCAAATTACATCATTGGTGAACCAGTCGCAGACACCAGTCGCAAACACAGAACATGTTAAGATAAGACTTTACATATTACACACTATTATTTTATTTGCCAACCAATGACCCAGGCTAGAACAGACCAGGTACAACTTTATCCGATCCATAATCGGCTCAACACTTCCAATGTGTGTCCCCGCCTTAATCCATGTACCCAATCTTTTGATGTTGTAAGGTCCTGGTTTAGGAAAGCTGGTATCTATCCACTTCTTTATGTCCCACTCTCTGTGCTGCAAACTCTCTGGATATCTCATATGTTTGTGTTAAAATATAAATAAAAGAATATAAAACAGATTATGATGAAATTATTGTAGAGAATCAACGTGCACATTAGATAAGGATTTATAAACAGCATGTATTTCCTTTTTTGCTTCCTCTACCATTACGGTTTCTCCTGTCCCACTCTCTCCGTCTCCTCTACAGCACCACCTCAGTCATTTGTTGACAACATGCCACCTGGCGAAGCTTCACAAATATGTCTTTATTATGGAATAAAAAGTAAAGATAGTAAGACAGTTTCCCAGTCCAAATGTGTGAATGTGTGTTCATGCATTAGTGAGCGAACGTGGAAGAGTCTCTCAGAAGTCAGCACTGCATGCAATGTTTATCCACCACATATTGAGCAGTGCTGACCAGAAAGCCCCAACAGGGCCATTGGAGCAGCTGGTGCGATACTGGCGTACACACAGCCCTAAATATAAACACCTATCATTCTCTCATCGCCACACATACATCATCCAGTGGCAGCCCTTCCATTTCACTCCTCTCCTCCACCTTACGCCTCATCAGATTATAATTAGCCTTGCTGAGTAATTAACATCCAAATTAGGACTTTAATTTGCATATCTCACCCTTATTTGCATATACTTCCAGCAGCACACACACACCTGACGTTCCTCCACACACTTACAAATTATTATTTTTTATTCTTTGTGAGGCATTAGACAAAACAAAAACTGGACATAGTAAAAGAGAGAGAAAGACAGAATATCTGGACAGGCGAGAGCATATAAATGGGACTGGGGAGGGGGTCGGTAATAGAGGTACCCGGGATAGAGTAAGAATGTGACACTCTCCAGATGAGAAAAGGCAAAGTAAGACAGAAAGAAGACTGCTTCGCCATTTATACATCTCACTTAAGCCCATAAAACTTTGGAATTGAATCCATGGCTGTGGGGGGAGAGAGAGAAAGCAGCAGCTCAGGAAATCAGAACGAAGGCTGTTCGAGCTTTGAAAAAGAAGCGAGGAGGAGAATGACGAAACACTCCCCTCATGACATTTGCCCTCTGAACGGCATCAGCTCAACGGAGCAGAGCAACTAAACAGCGATGCGGAGTCAAAGTAAGAGGGAGCCAGAGAGAGGAAGAAAAACACAAGTGAGAAGGCAGGGGAAAGAAAGAGAAAAGAGAGGGAGTAAAGCAGAAAAGAGCGATAGGACGGGCAGAGCAGTTCCCGCAAGGCATTGTTTCACCAGTCATTGCACAGAAGAGGAAAACCTGAGTTATGATTCTGCGTACTACATCGCTTTCACGATTTATGTTCCGGCGAGGATAATGCAGCTAGACGGCTCTGTTGAAAAGACACCCATAAATCTGATCTTATTTTCCGATTTCTTCCCCTCCCTTTCTTTCTCTTTCAGCACCCCTCTAATCCTCTCTGTCTGTGTTCTTTGGCATTCATCTGCTCTGGTCTATTTCCTGACTTCTTATGTAAAAGGTATTCCGCCTGCAAGCCTTTGTCTCATGTATATACTGTATTCTGCTGAGCTTGTAGAGCTTGTAAATACCAAATCTACACACACAAAAACTCACCCTTCGTGTCTCTCTTACAAAGAGAGCCAGCACACACAGGCCTTGAACTACTCCTTTTTAAGAGGAAATGGCTTTACTTAACAATACCAAGTTTTATCACATCTTAGGAAATTGCTATTATTATTGATCTACTATCATTTTCTTTTACTGAGTCAAAAGCAAATTCAGTCAATTTATTAAATGTTTGGTAACATGATGTGACTGAACATTGCATTGTCAAGGGCAACTGTGTATATATATATATATATATATATATATACACATAGCATAATAATAATCAAAGCTGTCTCTACAGAAAACAAGCTCTTCTCGAAACCTAGTTAGCCTTCCCTATGGCTCATGGCCATATGGAGGTCTTTTATAAACAGGGGGAAAAAATGATAATGTTTGGTTGAGTGCAGACAGCCCAGTGCTCTCACTCCAGAGACCCAATTAATACCACTGTAAACCGCAGCTGCCCTTCATAGACAACACCAGTCGACGTTGAATGTGTGTGTGTTTGTGTGTGTGTGTGAAAAAGAGAGAGAGCGAGACAGAGAGACGAAGGTGTGAGAGTATTGCATGGTGAGGATGTAATTGAATAGAACATCCTGACCATAGCTGCCCTCTCCAAGCACTAATCGATCATCGCAGATAGACATCATCTTCAGATCACTGGCAAACCAGCCAATCATGACCAGCAACATCCTCAATAAATGTCGTGTTTATGGTGTTAAATCATTTCAAAAGCAAGTGGGGCATGTATGGTAAGACATACAATTATCTGGAGAAGGGTGTTGCAGCAACATTTCAAGATGGCGTAAATACTTGTACTAATATGTGAAGTGCTATAGTGTGTGTTAAGTGAATTAAATAGCAGTGAGTTATGTCTGAGCTGAATTGATTATTCAATTAGCGTCAACCAATTAGTTGATAGATAAAGATTTTTTATAATCAATGAATCGTTTAAAGGATCAGTGTGTAAGATTTAGGGGGATCTATGTTGTTTCCAGTAGTGCATAATCACCAGAAAATAAGAATTGCTGAGTTCTCCTTAACTTAGAATGAGCCCTTTATAGAAACAGAGCGGGTCCCTTCCACAGAGTCCTCCATGTTGCACCGCCATGTTTCTACAGTAGCCCAGAACGGACAAACACTGGCAATAGAGAGGGCCTTTCGAGTTTTGCCTGAGTTTTTCGGCCACCATAGGTTATCCTGCAGGCTTGGAAGGTGAAGAGGAGGTGAAGGGTCTACAATTGGTTGCAACCTGCAACCTCATCTAGATGGTACTAAATCCTACACACTGGTCCTTTAAGTCTTTTTCAAAGCTAAAATACCAACCATTGCCAAATTGAGGTTTCTTATATGTGATGATTTGCTCCTTTAGTTTTGTGTCATGGTAAATTCAATATCTTTAGGATTTAGGACTAGACATGTGACGTGGTCTTCACTATTTTCTGTCATTCTATAGCTTAAGCAAGCAATTAATCTATTAACCAGTAATGAAAAACAATTTAGTTGCAGCCCTAGTGTCCATTATGCTTATTGGTTATTTACCCACCTTTTCCCATCCCACCAACATATCACAGTCAGACTTCCTATCATTACAACAACGCTGTAATTTCCCACCACACTGAACATCTGTCCTGTTAATTGCCCTATCTGCCATGACGCGAACTTTGACGAACTACTTTTCAATAAATAAGGCCACGAAGATTTTAAATAAAGCACATTAAACTATTGAATATTCAGCAGAACTTCACGACAGAAGTCAAAAATACCTAAATGGCGGCGAAGTTGTAGGACGGATGGTTGGTGCTCCCCTTGTCAACTTGTGCAAGTCAAACGCGAAAAAGCAATCAGACATTTCGAAGCCAAGTTAATTTGTTCCATCTTTTTCTTTTTCATGTTCCTACCTTTTCCGCCGAGAGCGCAGGTCTGGCCCCAGACCAGCCAAAAAAGCAAAAAAGGGACCCGGAGTAGCTGCATGGTTGTCGCGCTGTGTGGGTGATGTCTCCCCGTCCTCTCCTCTTCTGAAATCCTGGATCACCTCCCAAGCGCGAGGATGTTTTCAACTGGCCGGGCGAGCGAGGGATAGTCTGAAGGTAGAGAGACAGTCACTGGATACAGTAAGCAAAGAGAGAGAGAAACACGGACGTTTAAAGAGCCTCAATAAAACAGTGTTTCCGGTTATTAGTTTTCAAAATAAAACCCAGTCGAAGGTTAATTTTGAATGAGGGGACTAAAACAAGGCTGCATTTATACCAGGGTGAAAATTTAATTATTTATAAAAACGTATTTGACACTAATGGTTTCGGGTGCTCCGAAATAGGTTACCCTCAAGCATGACACATATTCCATTTTTATGTTGAAGAATAAAAGCATCCTTTTCGGCAGAATTTGACTTTTTTTTGGCAAGCTTGACACATCTGTTCATGAGAGTGAAGGTGAAAGTGCTGGAGAGGAAGGGGTGTAGGGGGATCTTTCTGAGATGAGTGTGAATGTGTTGGTAGTTTCCTGTTAAGAGGGGAAAAGATTGATTTTGACACCCCGGGAAAGGGCTGCTGTAACCCAGAGTTAGCTGCCAGTAATTGCATTCCTCTACACCAGGAATACAGCAACAGTTATTCTATCAATTCACTAAATCCCAAGCTGTGGCAAAGTAGGCTGCATTTGGGAAATGTAAAAAACTATATATAACACTTTAATTAAGGAGTAACATGTACTGCAGATTTTTTTCTTAGAGCGATACTCCTTTCATAATTGAATGAAGCAGCTGCTGCAGTGTGATGTTTTTACAGCTGTATCCTCCTAACAAGAGCTCGAACAGCGCAGCTATACTCCCCCTCACAGATTTGAGTCTTTCAGTTTTCACCCTGTGGCAGAATCACTGGTTTTCTCTAATGGCCGTATGTTCTTCAATTATTCCCCCATGCTTCGTCTTCTTCCGTTGGGTGTGGGTGTGTGTGTTCTGGGGATTAGAGAGAGAGAGGTCCGACCTCAAGAGAGTTAAGAGGATAACAAAGATAGAACACACACAGACATACATACACATAAAGACAAACACATTTACATGCACACACAATCACTTACACAGTCATTGCACAGTTCCATTTGGCTGTTTCCATGGGTAGTGGCAGCTAAGCTACAGCAGAGCAGTGATGTGGGAAAGATGGCGCAATGAGCAGATTGCCCTTCTACCTGTGGTCATGTCATCAGCTCAGAGATCATTAAGGATAGGGGACAGAAGGAGTTACTCACTGTGGCATCACTGAAGTACTGCTTGTTATTGACAAATACATTTTACTCTCAAGTTCATATGGAGTAGGATTGTTGCCATTTTGACTTTTCACTTTTTCCAGCACCTATATTCTGTAGCACACCCAAACAGTTTATGAGTAATAAATTATTCATCATATTAACAAAAAACATACATCCATTAAGGTGCTGGATCGTCACTGTGATAAGAACTTTAATTTTGCCAAGAATTTATCTTAAAAAGAATAGAACTTAAACAAGTTAACCACGTTATTGGACCTGGTTGTCCCTTCCATTTGACTCTTACAACTTAAAATGAAGTTAACATCATGTTATTACCCCCTAAAACAATCAAATGATGATATGAATTGAGTTGTGGATTTTAACAGATACCGAATCAGCCATAATTATGATAGTATTTTCCTGTTTGCATCTTCATCTTGCAAAATGAATGCTCTGCTGAAACTAGAACTGTCAGTTTGTGCATGCACATACAGTGTGCATGCATGTGCAATTCCTGTAGCCATAACTGTCCTCATAGGCAAAAAATAAATACCAGTGGTCTGTGACATGCCATGTCACTTAACCGGACCTTCACATTCTTCTAAAGTTATTATTGTGACACAGTTATTGGAAAAGCCATTTGCTGTACAGCTATTTTGTAATCAGTTGCCACCTGTTGCACTAAAGACAGCCAATTAATGTTCAACAAACTTTCCCCTTTTCATCTGGCAAGCCGTTAACAACAATGGAATGAAAGGTTAGACGGAGCACGTAGGTGTTTGATGCTGCACTGCTGCAAAGGTCAGGTTTCTTCTGGGAAGATGTTGTCCTCAGCCACAGAGACACAAACTAAAACGAGCAGCTAATGCACGGCAACAACGTTTACTGTGTGCAATTACAAAGTATTGACAACAGTTTGTCTACTGTATTTCAGGACCATGGAGAGCTCTTTCACTTTGCTCAGAATAACCTTCCTCCACCAGGGGTCGCACTTCAGTTGTTTTTCTATGCGGAACCATCGTGCATCAGCTCCTCAGTACGGCGGACAGAGAAGAGTGTGACACACTGTCGAAACAGCAACAATGTGAAAAGAAGGTAAATTATTTGTCTTTTATACCCTTAAACGTTGTGTCGTTTGTAACATGACAGTTTGAAAATACTACTTTTCAATTTCATTTATACATCCAATGTGTGTTGTGCTAAGCTACGTTAGCCGCTTGTTCAATGTCAAAGCTTCGTTGACAGAACGTCGCTGGTGTTTGTATGCTGTAATCTGACTTTATTCAGTCAATGAATCTGACTTGTGCTGTAACAACAGTTAAAAAACACAGCAACTCATAGTTGCATACGTCTGCGTATATAGCGGCAACTCTATACATTAATAGCTGAAGTGAGAAAGGCGACAGTCTCTTGTCTGGTACCAAATTAAACTTACACAACCCTGGATCAAACAAGTACCCAGTTTCCCACAGGGCGTTTCTTAGGATTTAAAGTCAAAGACAGTGAACACCCTACAGTTTATGCCTTATCTCAAGACATCAATTGCGTACAGTCGATGGGCAATGGCCCTAAAGCAAAACCCATTAGAAATCCGTGGATTGGTCATTTAGGCCTAATGATTAAATAAAGATAATCATTTGCTTTGAATAGGTCTTTTCAAGCAAGGAGCTCCAAGTGAAAAATAAAATGCCACTATAACAGAAGCCAGGATATTAAATGCAATTGTTGAGGCATCTCTAAAAACAAATAAAATCAAGTCAAAAAAATACAAGAGCAAATATACCTAGAATAAACTTACAATCTGTTGGTAACAAGGTAAAATGACAGAGCTTCATTTTGTGAACAGTATGGTCAGACAGAAAGGGGACACTGTTAATAAACTGCGTGATTAAGACATTGCACAGTGTACATAAAGTTAATAATTTAACTAACAAATTACATGTTTAAAGTGACACAAGTTCTTTAAATGTTGGCTGGAGACCTGCCAGAGAAACCAGTTGAAATAAACCATCCGACTACTGTTTGGACAGAGGCTGGTGTCATTAATTTCCCTGTTCTATACACCCACATGTACACTTTGAAACAAAATGCCACTGCAGTTGTTTCACTCCTCCAGTGTCTGACTCTGGCAAAATGCCGCCTCATTTATTATTTGCCAGTGTTTCTAACTGCTGGGTGTCCCAATGATAAATGGGCAGAGAATGGCTCTGCTGTGGGTTGCGTCTTACTGGGACCACCTATACTAACGCTGTACTCATCCATTGTAAGGTGTTTTGGGATTAGAAACTCCCACCAAATGACAAAAAGGTTGTTAAGGTTAATGCAACCAAGTCAAACGTGTACTTAAGTACAGATTGACTTAAAGAAATATATAAAATCTTAATCTTTCTGGAGAGCAGAGGTTTTCAAAGTGAGAGGCAGGTCCCTCCAGGGGGGCTCCAAACAGTTTCATTGAGAGCTCAGTGAATGGAAGCGAATAAATATTGCATTAATTATTTATAACATTAGTTATCAAAAAGGAGCCGAAATGTGCGTGATTTGGTCAAAGAGATATATAATAGAGAGATAGTTTATAGTCTTTCCCACTTTCCCAGAGTCAAAAACTAATAAATGCCTTAGGAGAGACCTTTTTATGTATTTGGTGGTCTATCTTGGCTCAATCGTTGAGTGTCTATAGGATCATTATCATGATTTCATAGGCATCCAGGAATTGAGTGAAAGTAAGCAAGTAAACTAAGTGAGGGTGAGGGGGTGCCTTTTTCCAAGCTTTATCTGAGGGGAGGACTACAGTCTCAGACTTTGAAAACCCCTACTGTATGTTTGTCTTCTCACCTTTGTGTGTCATCGTCCCACAATGTTAATAACTCTTTCTTCTGCTTTCCCCCCAAGGTTCTTTGACAGTGGTGTGAGGGGGTAAACCAAGATGGCCACCGGCCGTGTTCCGCTAGTCTTGCTAGCCTGCGGCTCCTTTAATCCTATCACCAATCAGCACATGAGGCTGTTTGAGCTGGCCAGAGACCACATGCACAGCACAGGTCAGATGCAGACGTCAGAGACACTATGTCTGCTAATCATTTGTGTGTTTTATTTGACTTTCTAGCTAACCTTCAAGGTCAAAGCAGCTGCTGTAAATGCTCCTAGATAATGCCCACCAATTAATGTTAATGTTTTTATTAACACTGAATCAAATAACTATATCTATAGCGAGAGATGGGTTGCTCACAGTGATGAACGTATAGCGAATTAAGACTCAACTCTGCAGCTCTACAAGGCTTTTTAAGCTCTATCTCATTATTTTTTCTTTTATAGCCCAAATTAGCTGTTTGGTTTCACTGCTCTCATCAGCATCATTTCCAGCAGCAACAGGCAGCTTCAAACATGCCCCGATAAACCTCATGTCTGTGATCTGTCCAGCACCAAACAGCAGACATATAAAGTTAAAGACTAGCTGGAGAAGAAGGTTGAACACCAAGCAAGCTAAAGATGCAGATATTGGTCTTGGGAATTGGTTGAAACCAAGAGCCCAAAGGAGAATAAATATTAGACTTGCATATGTCAGGTTGCTATAAACACAATTCCAAATGAATGCTAATGTTTCTTCGTGTCTTGCTTATGTGATGAGTAGGCTCTTTGCTAACACATTAGCCTTAACAATTTCATAAGACAGTAACAGGGCTTTGTTTTTCAGCTTTTTGTGGAGTCTCTCTGCCCCCTAGTGGCCAAAATATCTATTATTCCAGCTTTACCTTTTTGTTTTTGTGTCTGACAACATTGTGGAAAGGATCTCTACAGAGGTAGAGTAAGATCCTTTTTGTTTAACCAGAACTTACTATATCACCGTCGTCAAAGCCACCCGACTCCATTGACAAAAACATATTTTACCTCATAATTTTACCTTGCAGGATGCGTATGTGTGTGACTGTGGTGTTTTAAAGGGTTAAAAACACAAAAGTCACACAATAATACAAACTAACGGATGGACGCAGCGGTACACCAGAGAGGTAAAATAACTATTTTAGTGAACGGAGTCTGGTGGCTTTCATGAGGCAATACAGTGACTGTTGCTGGTTAAACAAGAAGGAACTAACTCTTTTTTTTAATGGTCTATTTCTGTATTGATTCTTTACATTATGTTGTCAGACACCTCTAATAACAATCTGAGCCTGTCAAGTAAAGCAGTTTAGTGTACGTACTTTGATGGTGCGCAATCGCCTGCAAGCATAACTTTGCAGCCCTGTTTCACTGCTGCTTACTTCACCGCGCTAGCTTAATGCCGGTGCAGTTTCTAAAAATATTGTCCCAGTTAGTCAAAAACATGGGAAAAGAGGGTACAGGTTGAAAAAATACCGAAGTTATCCTTTAACAAAAAAAAATCAATAAAATGGAAAATGTGTTTGTATTGATTGTTTACAAATATACAAACTGTCATTTTTCTGATGCTGCAGAGACCTGAGTTGCACTCCTTGTTGTTCTCTTCTTGTATGAATAAAAAGCTCAGTCAGCTGTGTGTCTTTGACATGTGGTGCCACACAGACCCCTGTAACAGCCGTGTTAGCAGGCACAGTTTCCTTACATAAACCCAGGCCTCTTTACCTCTAAAGCTGCTCTACATAATAGTACTGCCCTGGTCACATGGTCATAACAGCATTATTAGACCATAAAGAGTTATACTGATCAGCTCTCCCTTAGATGCTTTATGAATCTATGCACAGAGCAGCATTTCAGTGGGCATTGACATAAATAATGCTCTGACAGTTTCCCTTTGACCTCTGACCTATAAGACATCAGCTGACTAATTTTAGAGTAATCAGAAAATTTCTGTAAACTGAATAAAAGAGCTGTTTTTACTCCTGTTGCTGAATGTTTGTGCTACGGTTGCAAATAAGTTTGTTCTTTAAACATAAGAAGCATAATTTGATTCTGTATTTCCAATCAAAATGAGAATTTTTAAACTTTAAGTCTAACTCATTGTTTAAAGCAGTTTCTAAACCCTTCAAATTGATTATACAGTATAAGCTATAAGTAATTATTTAGTTTCATCTTTCATATCATGATCAGGCGCCTTCAGTGTCTCTTAGAGATTACTTTATCTACTGATTTATATTCCATTTCTGCGTTGGCTGTCATGACCCAGAAAATTTATATTAATCTTCCCTCCCTTCAGGCCTGTACCAGGTGGTGGGTGGCATCGTGTCTCCAGTGAGTGATGGCTATGGAAAGCAAGGCCTGGTACTGGCTAAACACCGAATCGCTATGACAAAACTGGCGCTCCAGAGCTCCAACTGGGTCACGGTTGATGAATGGGAGAGCGAGCAGCCAGACTGGACAGAGACTGTGGTCACCATGAGGTATAAAACACGTTCACTGCAGCAAGCACATCTTGGTCCCAGTTTATATCCAGTGTTACTCGGTTGCTGCTTTTTGTTTCCATTCGCTTTTGCAGTCCCGTTACATCATTCCTCATCCTTGATAGGATATAAGACAAATATTCTTTCTTTTCTGCCACGTCCTAGTTTTGCCACAGTGCCAGCAGCGTTCACAGGGATTTACTTTCCCTTGCTGCTCTTTTGCCCGCCCTGCTTCATGCCTACTTCAATAGCTTATGTAACAGTGTTGCCAGGTTCCCTGAGACTAAAGTATGGATGGTGGTCTCTTGGGGTTTGCCAGACTAGACTGGACCCATCTCAGTTCTGGGTTTTTCATGGGGTTAAATCAGCTTTCTGGGACATGAATATGGGTGAAGAGAGGTGAGCAGAGGTCATGTGAATAAGGGATATATGAGTAATGGCTCGCTCCATGGCGCATAAGGGTACAGAAAAATGACACTTTTTTGCAGCTGGGCCTTATTAAGGATTAGCACCAGAGATTTTTTTTTTATTTAACCAGGTAAGTCTCATTGAGATTAAAATCTCTTTTGCAAGAGAGACCTGGCCAAGACCCAGCATAAAAGAACATAAAGGACAAGTTTCCAACATATAAAAGACATCAAGTATATATACATAAATAACACAATGCCCCTGTGTTGACTAAGGCAGAATACAACTTTATAAACAGCGACAATGACCAATATTCACCTGCTCCATATCCTTCAGAGTTGAAAGAAACTGTCTGTAAGAAACAAAGTTTTCAAAGAGTCGTGAAGAAGGTTCCAAGCAGAAGGTGCCGCAAATATGAAGGCTTTTTTACCTAATTCTATTCGGACACGGGGGAACAAGGAGGGCCATTGAGCTTTATAGTAAAGGGTACAATGATGTGTCCTAAAAGCCAGTAAAAAAAACGTAATGCACAATGATACACAACATCCAGTTTCTGTTGGCAGAATTAATAATCTAATGGAAAGATTGTACCCTTACTGCACAAATCTTCTGTATGTTATGTGTAGGTAGATTATTTAGACTTGTATCATTGTACTTCTTACATTTTATTCCCATTCTTCCTTGCTCTGCATTTCTCACAAATCCCCTCATGAGTCTCCCCCCCACCCCTGTGTAGTGTTTGCGCAACATGGGTCTGATCAAGTGGCCTGTTGTCCAGAGGCTATGAACAAGCCACGTCACACCCACCTATCTCACTCCCCAACACACACACACAAACACACACGCGGAAATGTACTAGAACACCTTTAAGAAGCTTTACTTGAAAACAGTGAAGGTTTTCATTAATCTGTTTTTACAAGTTCCTCTGTGACTCATGTACACTCCTCTCTTTCTAATTCAATTCAGTTTGATAAGGCTTTGTTGGCAAGATGTTCAGATTGAAAAGCAGCTGGTAACAACCATTCATAAAATTAAAGAAATCAATTCTCAGTCTCTCTCTCTCTTGCCTTTGGTTGTTGGGCAGGTATCATTATGGGCGTATCCTGAAGGAGTATGAACAGAGCACAGGAAAGCACAACAACTCCAGTGGAAACACCAGTCCCCTCTCAAGTAAGAACTTCTTACTGTTGGAAACTTGGGATGAGCCCAGAAATCCCTTTGACCTCTGACTGTTTTCAGGTATTTTATATTTGGCTTTAATTTGTGGCATTGGCCGCGAATTCCTCTCATTTGGGGATGGCAATGTTGGTTGGTCAGTCCTCCATTTTGGTCAAGATATAATATAAATATCTCAACAACTATTTGAGTGATTGCCATTGAATTCTGTACAAAAATTCATAGTCCCTTGATGATGAATCCTACTGCCTTGGATGATCCTCTGACTTTTCCTCCAGCGTCACCAACATTTGACATCTGACTTTCCCATCAGCCTCAGCTGCACTTTGTGTTTAGTGCTAATCAGCAAATGTTAGCATGCTGACATGCTTAAATGGTAAACATGGTGAACATGAGACATGGCGAAAATCAGCTTGTGAGCATGTTAGCATGCTAATGTTAGCATTGCTATGCCTTGGTAGAGCCTCACAGATCCACTAGTGTAACTGTAGCCTTTTTTTGAGATTAGAGCCTATGTAATAATGTATTCTTCACTCAGTGCTTGATGAAGCATTTTTTCAGCATGTTACTTAATCACATCTTTAACAAGCTCTGTATCAGAGTTGGGGTTAAGGATTTTCATCAATCCCACATAATGTGACTGTGTTTAACACGGGCAAAGTAGAAGCGTAATGGTGCCCCTGTGGTCTTGACTGGTTAAAGAGTATTAGGGAGAGTTTAAATACCTTCAATACTTAGGGAGGACAGACTCACAAGTCAAAGCTATAACGTGTGAACATGATGGTTGTCCTATAACTGGAAGCCACCCAATCAGTGTTTAGGAACATTTTAATTAAATTTTATTTACAGGGGTATCTGTTTGAGCCTTACTGCTCTTTTACACAATGCTGCATAAAGATGACAACTTCCATGAAAAATAGAATTGTAGATAGGAATAGCCGTGAGATCTATCCGGGAAGATGAACTATGTATTTTGTAAATTTGTGAAGAGTTCAGTTCAGGGTGGAAAAGTTGAACTCCTAGGGTAATTCGTTTTGTTATGATTTTTTTTAGCTTCCAGCATCATGAATATCTAAGTTGTGTAATTTGTAGAACTAGTAAGTCAGTTTTAGTCATGTTATGAGTGTTTAGTTGCCTTATCCAGATTCAAAATGTTCACTTACCCAGTATTCACATCACCAATGCCTCCAGTTTTTTAAATCTTGCTCCTCTGCAAGATGGATACTCTGGGATTGCTTTTTTTAGCTTGATTGTGTATTAGCCAGTTGGCAAACATCCAATGGACTGTTCCATGTATTCAAAACTAGCACCTCTTGAGGATTATGTAACTCGTTGCCACCATAATTTCTCAGGAAAAAACCACCCACAGAATTAGAACTGAAATATCAACGATTTAGTGAACAGGCCGATCACAGAATCATTATTTTTGGGTAAAATCATTTGAAGGAAGGCAGTGTTGCCAGACCACAGGAAGGTGAAAATCATAGTGTACAGGTGACTGATGAGGTGAACATGTTTTGAAGATAAAAACAAAGGATTCAGGGATCTGACTTGAGCCAAGCTCTTTTTTTATGAAGAATTCTTCACATCAGTAAACATTAAGTAAAATTAGTAATCATGGGTATTTTTAATTCTAGAATATTTACATTATTGTTATGAATCATATCCTTTTAATGGTAAATATTCAAAGATTCCCTGGTTAGTTAGAAGTAAGCAGTCTTCTTCCTCACTGTCTTATTCTGCCTCTCCCCTCAGGCCCTTTTCCCCAGTTGAAGCTTCTGTGTGGGGCTGATTTCCTCGACACTTTCAAGATCCCTGACCTGTGGCGAGACGACCACGTGGAGGAGGTGGCTGGGCGTTTTGGCCTGGTCTGCGTCAGTCGAGGGGGGCATCAACCTGAGCGAGCCGTGCATGAGTCGGACACGCTCTCGCGCCACCATCAAAACATTTTCCTGGTGAGGGAATGGGTGAAGAATGAGATGAGTGCCACCGAGGTCCGCCGGGCTCTGAGACGCGGTCTAAGTGTGAAATACCTGATCCCAGACTCTGTGATAGAATATATTCACCAGCACAAGCTCTACACAGATGACAGCGAGAGGAGAAATAAGGGCATGGCACTGAGGCCGCTCACCAAGCAGGCTAAACAGCCAGTGAAGAGTCTAGATGACTGATAGATGGACTGCTGCAGCGTTGAGCAGAACATGGGAGCCCTTGAAGTGTGAATGCACTCACAGATCAATGCCTGTCTTCGGGGACTGGAGGCTCTGCTAACTTCCACTGGACTGCAGTGTGATAGAGGTTTGCACAATCCACCAGTTGGCGTAAATGTGTTTTCCAGGCATCACATGTGTTCAGTAGGAAGCATCTACACAGTTCTGTGGTGTCTTTTGAATCATACACATGAAATGTTGCAAATGAACATTCGTTTGCTAAATGTTTTCAACCTTTGTAGTTTTCCACATTGCACATCATTTCAGAGATGGATAAATTGAAATACAATCCCTCTATCTTTGAAGTAATTTTGTCTGGCTTGTGTTTATTTTCCTTGTAGCTGTCTAAATCTATCAAATCATAAACCAGGGGGGCCATAACCAGGATTTTAGAAATAATGAGGTCATGAGTCTGTCCACTCCCAACAACCCTTTTCCCACCTGCTGAGACCACCAAAAAGTTTCTAAAATACAAATATGGCACATCAGACTTTGACAGGGATAAAACGATACATTCCTGGGCTTATTTCCATCATTGTCCTTGGTGTTTTTTCTCAGTCTACCAACCTTTGTCAAAACAGACAGGCATTCAGGGTCTGACATTTGGATTTATTAGAAAATAAGAACTGAAGAGCTTGAAAATGGAATCATATGAACAAACAATTGATTTTCTTTTCATTGAGCAGACATGGTCAAAAGCAAAGAAGCCTAAAAGAAAAAATTCTTCTCTAAATTACATTTCCCAACACAAAGTTATAAATGGTGTTTTAAAAGCCTTGTGATTCTGGTGGAGAAAAACTGAAGCCTTTATTTAAATATGTATTCATATTTATAGGCCTGCTGTTAAGAATCGGCCTATAAAATACCCACTGTGTGTGTGTGTGTTTTTTAATGGTATGTATTTTAAAGGCTACCAGGATGCCCCCACTTGCACATTTTTAATTGTAGAGGTAGAAACTGTATCCTGTTTTAAATTTCTTCTCATATGAAGATCATTTTTTTGGTGTGTCTACCGTGTAGCAGCCTCCCAACAGCAATTCCTTGTGGATCTATTCAGTTTCGCCATCATCATCCACACACTGTGTCTGCGAGGCTTGAATTTCTTTTCCACCAAAGGATTTAAAATAATCCTGACAGTTGCTCAGCTACAGGAGGTGTTTTCTCTCTGAGGCCAATGGCTGAAAGCGCCACTGTGAGTGATACTAACTGGCATCCTTTGAAAGATGGTATGTGTGTGTGTCTGTGTGTTTCAGTCAGTAAAGGATTTAGGCAGTGGGTTGGCTGCAGACGGCCCAAAAGAGAGATTATCAAATTAATTGAGTTATTTAAGCGAGACAAAAGATGTGACAGTCCTGTTGTGCTACATTTAATCGTTCCAGTTGGATCATTTTAAGCTCAGGTGATTCTGCGTTTGTAGTGTGCATATTATCCACACTGCCTGCTCCATTCTGCCACATTCACAATGTTTTAATAAGTCTTCATTTGATTTTACTCCCATTAGCCTGATTGTTGATGGCCCTGCATCAGGATTAAAACCAGGTGTGATATTCAGAAGTATTCAGATGCTTTACTCAAGTAAAAGTAGCAATTCCACACTCTGAAAATACTCCACAATAAGTAAAAGTCCTGCATTCAAAAAAAAAAACTGTAAAAGTATTTGTTCTGCAGAAAAATGTTCCCTTTCTGTGTTTTACTATTATACATGATGTTTCTGTATTAACATTACTGCTGCATTAATGTTTATGCAGCATTTTACTGCTGTAAATGTTTAAGGCTGAGCGAACTGTAAATAGTATATACTCCATTGTGTAGTTTAATCTACAGCAATGCATCATGTTCTACATGATCATGTTTTTATAGCATCGCCATCCTGTGAAAACTATGTGTCTAACAAGTCAACCTTTCATGAGCTCAGAAAAACAGCCCTGTTTTCAGCTTTGTGTGCCAGCGAATCCAATTTTTTTTTTTTTTAACTATTTGTTTAGTTTAAAATGGAGGAGAATTTTCTCAACCCGTAAAGGAAACACTTCATCCTTCAGTTCATCAGAAACATTTACTAGAATCACAAATTTGGAGATTTTTACTGGACATGAAGTGTATTAAAACTTGAATATGAAAGGTAACTGAAGCTGTCAGACAAATATGCTGGAATATAGTATAAGTATGAAGAAGCTTACAATGTAAATACTCAAGTAAAGTGCAGTAGCCTTGTAGGCCTACTTGATAGTTACTTTTCACCACTGGTTATAACCCTGATGTAAACATGACTAAAACGGCCTCATTTTATACAACAGAACCAAGCCAAATTACTTTCACGTGAACTATGTGAAAGGAAGTGCTGCCATTTATCCTAATCCCACATATTGGTCAGTGTATGCATTCACCATCAGAAAGCACAGAGTAGGCCTGTTCAATGTTGTGCATGCGCGCCGCATGTTCCAAGCACATGCATAATATGTGGGTTAGGGAGTGCGGTGAGGATTGAGGGAGGGAAGTGGGTGGCGCGAGCGACATTTTCCATAAAGAAATGAATCCCGACAGGTAATCGGATTAAAGTGAGTTTGTTTCAAATTGGGGCTTTTGACAGCAGGCTCTGCACTCGGTCACCAGTAGCCGTCCTCAGCGGACCCCCTCATTCACTGGAAGTAAGGAAAGCAGCAGAGAAACAGCCAGGATGCCAGCTGATTTGAACGGATATTGGAAAATGATTTCCAATGATAACTTCGAGGAGTACCTTAAGGCCCTAGGTGAGTTTGTAGCAGTGGGTAGTAAAAGACGGGCCTGGTAAAGGCATGGGAGCAAGCATCCTCATTAGATCACTAATATGGAGCTAATAATATCAACGTTGACATTTTAAACCTGCACATAATCCTTTGCTATTCATAAAAATCGTAATGTTTCGACTGTGTGGAACAGTGGAGACAGTGGAGCAAGCTTGCAGCAATTTCGTATATTTTTATCATATCTCACATTGTGCCAGTACAAAAATGAGAGAAATGCACATTTATTGTGATATCTTCCAATTACTTTCATGTAATAACTATAGTTACTGTCAGGAATAACAAACGCATATTTTTAAAAAATTACTCAAACTAAATGTTCCACTTTACCTCAACATAAACAAATTGGATTGAAAATTGTCACATAAACACTGCTGCATCTAACAATTATAAATCTGGGAAAATCTGTTTCCCATTTATGTACCACCTTCCTTGGGAACCTGTTGCAGATGTAAATGTTGCCATCAGGAAGATCGCCACCTTGTTGAAGCCTGACAAGGACATCACTCACGATGGGGACCACATAATCATCAAAACCCTCAGCACCTTCAAAAACTACAACATGGACTTCTATGTGGGCAAAGAGTTTGAGGAGGACCTTAGTGGAGTGGATGACAGGAAATGCATGGCAAGTATTTGGACCAATGGACACAGGGGATCTGATACATTTTAATGAATGTGTACATGGCAAATTACTTTATTTAAGCTCTTGAGAAAACACTTATTTAGACGCTACAGTTAAATTACATTGCTACAGGTAAGGGACATTAAGCTCCCATGTACAAACTGACTTTTCTTGGTGGCACCCCTCCGAACTATAATGAGCATATGGTGTGGTGAGAGGTTGTCATTATGTTCAAAACTTTCCTCAAACTTCTCACACCCTTGTCAGTGAATTGATGAAATAAAGACCGATGTCAGATACTGCAGTAAAAGAGTAAAAGTCAAGACATTTATTTAATCAGATTGTGTTGCTGACTACTAAATCAGATCAAAGATTATCTATGGCCCCCCCGCCCTCCCTTGAAAAACCCTTTTTGTATGCTGATTATAGATAAGCTATAATCTTGGCTGAGAGAAAGGCTGACGTGAATGTGCAGATTTTATCAGAATAATTATTTGTAATAGGGGTGAATGATAATGAAAAAGTGTCTCACTCAGCATATATATATATACTATATATATATATATATAAATATATATATATAAATATATATGTTTATGAGAGGAAACTTGCATCATGTTTTATAATCACATACTCTCCCTGACCTGTGGCCCCATGCAGACCACTATCACCTGGGAGGGAGACAAGCTGGTGTGTGTGCAGAAGGGGGAGATCGAAGGAAGAGGGTGGACCCACTGGGTGGACGGAGATGAGCTTCATCTGGTGAGAGAACACCCGCTCCTGCCATGAATATTAATACATACAATTTGGATGTGTTAATCCAAATCCAAAATGCCTCTCAGCACCGTATGTGCAGAGCATATATTTTAATGTGACTCATGAGTTGGCTCCCTGGCTCCAGCAGTAGTAACATTATATTGTGTGAGGTGCATGCACACTGGGAATACGGGTTATGAATGTGCATGCAACTCATTTACTGACAAGGTGATGCAAGTTGATAAATTAAAAAACTTTTGCATATATTGTGAAAAGCTATCCAGATTCTGCAACTCATTTATCCCCTCACCATGAGACTTCCAACACTCTTCACCATTAGCCTCTGGCATGGTATTATCTTTAGACTTTTCCGATCTAATGTCTGTTAGAAGGGCTTCATTAAAACATTTTTTAAAAACATCTCTTCTGTGAAATTCATACGGGGACCCAGTGTGGCCTGTAATGAAGGCATTAACATGTGAAAAGACTTTAAAGTAATGACTAGCACATTACCATTTCCATTAGCTCAGCATTATCAGATTTCCCTCTCTATGATTACAGCTATCAAAGCTAAGCAAAAATAATCTGCCAAATTATTTGGTTTAAGTATTGCCAACAGATGTTTTCAATCAGCAGCCATGAAATTAGGTATTAGTTGGAAGTTCCCAAGAGCTGGAAGAGGGTTTCAGTGTAGAGTAACGGTGGCCTCTGGTGGCAGAAAATACTTTGCAAACGGATGCTAGAAGTTATACTAGAAAACTGTTGCTATCCTTTACAATATCCTAAATTACTTGAAATACTGCACATTCAATGTTTCCTTGCATCTTTTAGTAATAATTGACCCATTGCCAGCTCCTCCCGCCCATAGTCAGATGACTATTTTTTCTGTGATTTACAGTTTATGAAAGTTATGGTCATGTTTTGCCCCTCTTGGTCATCCCCATTAATCCAAATGACATTCTGAGTCTGTTAAGGTCGATCTAAAAACTTTCAATTGTCTTTTGTTCTCTGCAGGAGCTGAGAGCTGCAGGAGTTGTTTGCAAGCAGGTCTTCAAGAAGACCTAACCTGGCTCTTATAGAATGAGACGGTGCCCTCGGCTCCCAAGCCTCTGACATACCATCCAACTTCCCTTTGGTCCATTCATCTCCACGTAGCTACTAATCTACCAATCTTGTATGTATTTTCCATCAAAAATACTATTTTGGCAACCATCACAGTTGGTGAATTATTCCTCCAAGATTGCTTTACTCTGCCACAGCCAACTCATACACTGTATGGTAAAGTGCGGGTCGGCGTGTGCATCGTGTAACATCATCAAAATGCAATACTGTACATCTGTCTCAGGGTGGGTGCTCTTTTGACTAACAAATTTTAGATGTGTTGGACACATGCATACTGCTGCTGTACTTGTAGCTGATCTGACGGGTGAACCAGATTGATGATTCAATGAATTTGAAAGACCAGTGGGAAAGCAATGGACGCAGTGAAGCAAAGAGGAAATTAAAGGGGTTAATCCCATTTTAATTCTCTCAATGAATTTTGTGGATGTAAAAAGATGAACATGTGACTGTGTTTGAGGGCTGTAAACTCAGTTGCTAGTGATGCTTAGTCTCCAGTGTGTATTTATCCCTCTCAATTCCTTTGGGATTCTGCCATTGATAGTGAAATTAATGAATCAATAAAGTAAACAGTGCTTAATAATGTCATTTTTCTTTTTCTGAGTGGTTCAAACTGCCATTTTCTTTTCTTTTTTTTTGTTCATCAGACTTGTTTGGAAAGGAAATGTTTTGCTTGGCAGTTCAGTCATACAACAGACAAACCACTGAAATGAATGGTTGTTATTTACTGAAGTTTCACAGGCCAACAGATCAGGTGTTAGAAGCTCCTTCTGTCTGAAAATGCCTTTTTCCGACATGTGCAAGCAATCTGAGGGCCTCTATTTGAGGACGTCAGTGAGTGAAGTGAAGCCTGCAGAGCTTCAACCAGAAAACTCGAACCACGCTGTGCTCTGAATCAGCTAATCTGTCAGCTCACTTTGTGCAATGCCATCACCAATTGGGCAGTCTATAAAAGCTGTCCAACTCACTTGTTCATTCTTTGCTGCTGCTCGCCCTGCTGTTCAGACTCCTGCTGCTTCATGTGCATTCGCACTCCGCCACCACCCCGGCGTCTACCTGCAGGCTCTGTTTATTTATGGCTCTGCAGGGGGTTGTTATTGATCTCTCCCTTCTCTTGCTATGGCTGGTTAAAAAAAAATGCTCTCAGCGAGGGGTCGGAACAGAGTCTGGCGCCAGAGTAAATTTTACATTTGCATTTATTATCAATAAAGTGTTTCTGCTAAGTGCATGGGTTGTCTCGCTGAAATCAGCTACTAAACTCTCATTTTCAGCAATCCACAGGCTAACAACTCAATACAGGAAGATGATTTTTGCTTGGTTTTAAATTCCCCCTGTGCTCAAAATTGTGTTTTTCTTATTGTTACTTCACTTGGATGTTTGTCCTTAAGAAGGCTGTTCAACTGCTGAAGGGGTTAAGTTTCTATTTGCACACCTTAAATTCCGAGTTTAAGACCTGTATGTAAAAGCATGATTTTGTGACATCACAACTAGCTTGCAAGGCAATCATGGTTCAATATACAACTTACAGAAGTGTGACATGGGAACTTGAAACCTCCAGCATACTTACTGTACACTGCATTTTTGACAGAAGAATGAGACTTCTTGTCACCAGTGGTTAAAGTTGTAATCCTTAAAATTTTAGTCCTGGTTGATTTGGCGACACCTGTGGTTACTGGTGGTGATGCTAAGAACATTTTAATACAGGAAGTCCCAGAGTTCCATTAGAAATGACCCACTTATCGCTCACTGGGAGCAAAAACCATAGACAGTATATTACTGAATGAAGCCACCACGCTAATTTGAATGGAGAGCAGTGAAGCCAGTTTTGGACCAATAAAATACTACTACAGGGCCTAATTGTTGGCACCAGCGTCTACTGCGCATGATCGCGCAGCATAACCGTGGTTTAATGACGTAGAACAACTGCAGAAACACCGTAATCCTGGTAGCTGTATAAATGCGCCAACAAAAACTTTCATGGCTCAGTGTGTTTGTCTGGCTGGGATCGTCACTGTTTAATCAGCCCACCTACAAGGTTCACCTGTCAAACACCAACGCAGCGTCTATGATTGCTCTGATAGTTGTTTTTTTTTGATTGCCGAGAGCTTATAATCTAAGCAATACGGTTACATCTCTCATGTGCGACTTAGTGTCACAGGGTTTTGACGTCATTTTGACGGTCGGCTTCACTGTCCGATATCTGGCTTACCACCTTGGCAAAAACTGTGCTTTGAGCAGTCACATACATCTTCCTGTGAATCCCTTGTGCATTTGCACTTGAATCTTGTGCAGGAATGGCGGACTCCACCACTGACAATGCAAACTAAATCCAAAACGTTAACTGAGTATAAAAACATTTAATGGCTATGGCTGCATAAATAGTGTCAAACATTCAGTTTGATATGATGAAAATCTTAAGGATTAAAAATTGAAATTTTGAAATGAAAATATATTTGCATGTTCATAGTTTCTGGATTTTTCAATGAGGGAGAAACAGTAGATAATTTAAAACTAGTTAATTGAACATTTTTGAAGCCATACAGAATTTAACTGCAAGACCAATTGAACTGTATTAACCTTCATGCTCAAAGTTCATGTATTCTGGTTTAGTATTTGAGCTTGATCAAATAAAGAGCACACACTGGCAGATGTTACAAAATAGCTTCTCCTGTCTGTACATTGTACACTGACCATCACTGTAGTCACTGTGTCTGCATGTGTATGTGTGTAAAGGCACATGTGAAAGTGGTGTGTGTGCACTGTGCATGTGTCAGTACCCTCAGATATGCCCTCCACAACCTCTCCCAGTGACTGTGTAAAGACTGAAAGAAGAGTGTGAGCCCCCCCCCCCTTACAAAACAACTGCCTCTGCCAATCTCCGTCAAGCTATAAACTCACTTATCAATAGAATTCCGCCCTCATGCCCCTGGCTCATACAAAAGCAGGAGTCCACCCTGCACCTTTCCCCTCCCTACACTGTCTCCACACAACAGTGTCACCAGCCGCCACCATGCCTGCAGACTTTAATGGGAAATGGGTTCTGGAAACCAGTGAGAAATTTGAGGATTATTTGAAAGTGCTGAGTAAGAAACTTTTAATTTTGGTCTGAGATGTCTTAAGTAGTATTACAGGATGATTTGACAGGTTGGAGAAGCTACACAAGTAACAAAAACATCTTTAAATCTTTATGTTAAGAGACTGTTCTTGTCCTTGTGTTACTGTTAGATCTAATCTGGAGCTAATGCAAAAAGATTTTTCTAAGGCAGTTATTTCACAACCATTTCTTGATTACACAACAACTATGATGTCAAATACGTAAATGATTCTGATTCAAAAACCATGCCCAGTCAACTATATATTTCTTTCCGACCATGTACAGAAATCAAGTACTATAATTTGGCTGCTCTGAGAGGTTTCTCTATTCTCGCCCTAGATATTGACTTTGCTACAAGGAAAATTGCCATCTCCCTGTCTCAGACCAAAGTAGTCAACCAAGATGGAAATACGTTTGACTTCAAAACCCTGAGCACCTTAAGGAATTATGAGCTTACTTTCACTGCAGGGGTTGAGTTTGATGAGTACACCAAGGGACTAGACAACAGAAATGTAAAGGTGGGTTGACCTCTCATATATATGCAGTCCTTGAAAGGACAAGAGTCACGATATTTCCCATTTCACTTGCTGCTTAATGAGAACGGTGTTATCAAAGTGTATCCAGGGCAAAGATTGGTCTGTGGTATCAGTGCTGCAAACAAACGAAACCAACAGTAGTGTGCCAATGAGAAGAAATCATCAGAGATTACCAGCATTATGCTGAATGCCAACAGATTGAAGACATTTCAAATAGAAGTCCAGGGAAGAGGAGGACTAAATATCTTGTTTACATCTTCAGCCTTTCATAACATCACTGTCATCCAATGGCTTTATTTACATTTCATTTACATTTACTCATTTGGCAGACGCTTTTATCCAAAGCAACTTACATTTGAGGAACAACATACAAGCGTCAACAGAGCATCAAATACAGATCTACAACTGACAATACATACTAGTAAGAGCAGCAATAAGTACTAGTAAGAGCTCATAGTACATATCACATCAATGGGGTAAATACCTAGGGAAGGAAGTAAGAGTTAACAAAAAGTGCAATCAAAACAAAAATGTGCAATCAATTCAAGATAATTGTAGGGGGCTAGAAGAAGAAGAGCACAGGAAGTGCATGTTAGAGGTTTGGAGTTAGAGGTGTTATAAGAGGAAGTGTTCTCGGAAGAGATGAGTTTTCAAGAGCTTCTTGAAGTTAGAGACGGACGCCCCTGCTCTGATGGTGGTAGCTCGTTCCACCATCGTGGTGTCACAGATGAGAACAGCTGAGACTGGGATTGCTTTGTGTGAAGTGATGGCAGAGCCAGGCGGTGTTCGTTGGAGGAGTGTAGAGAAGGAACGTAAGTTTGTATTATGGAGTTTAGGTCGATGGGTGCAGACCCAGTAGTCACTCTATATGCAAGCATTAGTGACTTGAATCTGATTCTGGGGCCACGGGGAGCCAGTGGAGGTCACTGAGTAATGGAGTGACATGAATCCTTTTGGGCTGATCAAAAACCAGACGCGCTGCTACGTTATGAACCATAACGCACTATATTGATAATCAATCAACATAGTTATGAACCATAACGCAGCAGCACAAACAAGGGTTTCACTGCACAATCTGGAAGACCTGCTAGGAGGGCATTGCAATAGTCGAGGCGAGAGATAACCATGGCCTGTACCAGAAGCTGGGTGGCATACTGAGTGAGGTAGGGCCTGATTTTCCTTATGTTGTATAGAGCAAAGCAGCATGACCGAGAGACAGCAGCAACATGGTCTGAAAAGGACAGCTGGTCATCAATCATGACACCCAAGTTTCTCACCACCCTGGTTGGAGTGATGGTAGAGGAGTCAATTTGTAGTTTGATGTTATGGTGGATAGATTGCTTGGCTGGAATGACCGAGAGTTCAGTCTTAGAGAGGTTTAGTTGAAGGTGGCAAGCCTTCATCCATGCAGATATGTCCGAGAGACAGTCCGTGATCTGCGCCGAGACGGTGGGGTTGTCTGGCGGGAACGATAGGTAGAGTTGCGTATCGTCTGTGTAGCAGTGGTAAGAGAAGCCGTGAGAGCGAATGATCGTCCTCAGTGAGGTGGCGTAAATTGAGAAGAGAAGCACTGAGCCTTGGGGCACCCCTGTGGAGAGGCAGTGTGAGGAGGATAATTGTCCTTGCCACAAAACATTGTAGGAACGCCCCGAGAGGTAGGATGCACAAAATGACTTGCCAATGGTGCATCAGACATCTGCAGGTAGTTAATTTACCATTTTTATTATAAAGCCACAGGGAAAATAGGAAATAGTTAATAGTTAAATGTTGTGAGGGTGAAATAGATTAACTTTTTAATTGAATTCATGAAATAACTGGAGGTAATGAGAAATTGCATTGCATTGCATATTTACAGTATAGTAAAATTAATCACTAAATCAATCAATATAGTAAACTTAAATTTATTGATAGACATCACATAGCTTATTAGTAAAATTTCTCTCCACAACACTGACATTTAGTACATGTATAGAGCAAATATAATTAGTCTACACTTAAAGCTGGTTTCATTCAGTGCTAATTATATGTCAACATAAAGCCAGTCTTGAACTTGTGACTCTTCATGGTGGCTGTAACCTTTAGGTAAAAGCAGGCAACAGGCATATGTGCAGAGGAAATTCCATACCACAATGTTAAGTCAAAAATACATTGCAGAGTTATTAATAAGGTTCACTGTTTAGTGAATGCATTACATGCTGTCTTGTAGAGTCTGGTGACCTGGGAGGGGGACAAGCTGGTGTGCACTCAGAAAGGAGAGAAGGCCAACCGTGGCTGGAAACACTGGATAGAAGGAGATAAACTCTACCTGGTGGGTTGACGGTATCCGTCAGATATGACCCAGAGGGAAATGTCTTGGGTATATGGGATGTACTGCACAGCAGAATGTGATTGTTAAGGATTTTAAGGGTAAATTACATACATTTATTGCTCTCATTTTAATTATCCTCTTGGTAAACTAAATTAACAGATTCTATTTCCTCCTACAGGAGCTGACATGTGAAGATGTGGTTTGTCTTCAGGTGTTCAAGAGAAAAGAATAAAAAAATATCTGTTTTCATTTACTCAGTTAACAGCATGTTAGCATGTTTTCCCAAACAAAATGAATAAAGGTGCTTTTCAGACATATTGTGCTGTGTATGAATAGAGACAAAGATGTTATGAATCAACTTTAATTTTTGGTGTTTACAGTTGTGTAACATCAGAAACAGTGAAGGTACTCTGACAGAAGAGAGGGATGTTAGGAAGTATTACCTAATACATTTCTTCTTGAGAGAGTATATCAGAATGCATAAAAGACTAATGAATGTTCACATTGTTTAATCTGTTACACATTGCATATATGCATTAAACACATTTTACGGTTATAGTGGAGTAGTTTAAAGGGCATGGCTTAAATCGCCATTTGCTGGAAAAATATGGTAGGATCTTGCAGGTGCGATAGGATGGGATGACATTGAATGATACTGTGTAACAATAACTTAATGGCCTAAGCATCAGAAATTACACCTTTGAACTCGCTCTGTTCATATTACATGGCAATAAGCCACAGTAGCTTAAACCGAATTGGAGTAGGCTAGTGTGCAACAATGTGTGGAAAAGTTGATGCAACTGATGATACTATCACTACTATTACTAATAAACAAATTCAATAAACAAATTAGATGATTCAAAGTGACAAATTTAATCTTTGTAATTAAATAATGTCCACCCCTCTTCACTCACTAGCAGTGTAGATTGATGTTTTGTAAAGTGGTTTTGTGTGTCGGCTCAGTTTCAAATTTTTCTAATGCTGCAGCAACATTTTTCTTGTGACAAGATAGTCTTTATGTTAGGCTACATTTTATTCATTTCTAAAAAACCAACTTATTATATGCTAACAACAAAAACTTCTCATTATGAGAAGATAGGTTGGTAAGCCTACATTGCTGCGCTAGGAATTTAATTCAATCTCGTGATGATGAATTTGAACCTTTTTATATACAGTCTATGATTTGAACAAGCGCAACAATATTTTCAGTTTACTATAATCATCTCGAGGTGAGTTTAAGGTTGTAGTCACTGCTCTGTAAATTTCAACCGAGGACAAAATAGATCTATTTAGTTATCTTGGTGTAATGGCATCTCAACTTGTCATTATACAACCATGGATAACAACAAACTGAGCAGATTTCCTGTCACCGTGGCAGATTCGGACAGACTTCGCATTCGTCACCACTTCCAACTCACGCGAGATTGAGTTTCAGGAACTTCCACGTCAGTCTCCAGTGCTCCGAGTCTGTTCTCTGAAATCGTAACACTCGGACCCCGATTGCAATTGTTCACAACACATTTATCGGATCTTATTGCGACAACACGGGGATAAAACATGGTAAGAGACGTTTAAAATTGTTCCCAGCATGTTTTGTTTCCGTACACAGCATCCAATTCTCGTGGTTTACTTAAAAAGGACAGTGAAACTGTCAAATAATAATGCAGTCTTGTAGATAGCTTAGCGGCTAACTAGCTTGAATTAGCACGAGAGCTTGTAGCTAACTGCTATTAATTTAATTAACCATGACTGTATTTAAGCTTTATTTGTGCTTACAGTTGTCTTGAGATAGTTGTCTTATTAATTATAATAAGGTGCATAAGTTTAAGATTATTGGAATCATTGAAAGGTATTAGGCTCTATGTTAGCATGCTAACGGTTACTTTGCCTTTTCTACAGCTGCCCTACTATTCTGGGTCTTTACGTTTACGCTACAGATTTTTTGCCCAATCATTAAATGCCCATGTATTGTCATTCATATTGAGAGTTTGAATAGCGTAATGTGTGGAAAAGACTCTGATGTAATTTGTCTTTTCAGCCTCTGAGGCTGGACATCAAGCGGAGGCTGACAGCCAGGTCAGACCGAGTGAAGAGTGTGGACCTTCACCCAACTGAGCCATGGATGCTGGCCAGTCTGTACAACGGCAGTGTCTGTGTGTGGAACCACGAAACACAAGTATGATCACAAATCACTATGGGCTACCATACAAAGTTGCACTACACAATATGGAAAAAATTAATTTAATGCTGTAAATCTTAACTGAGTCCGCAATGTTCTTTCTTCCAGACGTTGGTTAAGACTTTTGAAGTATGTGACCTCCCTGTCAGAGCGTCTAAGTTTGTGGCAAGGAAGAACTGGGTCATCACTGGAGCGGTGAGTTGCATCCATTGTTCATGCTGGCACTACGACTCTTGAAAGCTGTCATCCATAACACAAGTCGTTTTACAAACTAGTAATATGAAGATGGTATGAACTCGGTGTGGTTTAAGTGTTGTGCGGGTATGTGCAGTGAAATCGTAAGAAGTGGTGTCATATCAATACTTATATTGTATAATTATATAATATTCTAGGAATTGCTATACAGTTTTCTCATTGTGTTTGACTGAAATAGCATATACCAACAGCTTATTAGGTTATGTTTTAGATATTTTATATATATTGTTCTTTACTGAATCAATTGTGTCGTAAGAAAATCTTCAAATATTTTCTCCCCATGCAGGATGACATGCAGATCCGTGTGTTCAACTACAACACCTTGGAGCGGGTCCACATGTTCGAGGCACACTCTGACTACATCCGTTGCATCGCTGTCCATCCAACTCAGCCCTACATCCTCACCAGCAGTGGTACGCTAGTAAACTCACGATATCTTGATTGGTAGCATACTAGTTTCTTAAAATTTCTTCACCACACAGTTCAGTTATGTCCTTAAATGCATGTGTATTTTTGTGTGCACACATGTATGAATGTATTTCTCTTTCTGTGCAGATGACATGTTGATCAAACTGTGGGACTGGGAGAAGAAGTGGTCGTGCAGCCAGGTGTTTGAGGGTCACACTCACTATGTCATGCAGATTGTAATCAACCCCAAGGATAACAACCAGTTTGCCAGTGCGTCCCTGGACAGGACGATTAAGGTAGAGACCCCTGGCTGTTACTGTTCTCACCTTTGCTGCTGCTAATCTTATATTTTCATTGGGTGAGTGCTGTGGGACACCCAGATCCTACTGCAGCTTCTGTAATATAGATTAGGCACACAAATATTTCTTAAATTGGGGTGGGGATGGCGCAAGAAGCATGCCTTTGGTGTGAGAGACCCAGGTTTGATTCCAACTGCGACACATCCACCAATGTGTCCCTGAGCAAAACACTTAACACCTACTTGCTCCAGAGGCATGCAACCTCTTACAAATGTAGGAATTGTAAGTGTAAGTCACTTTGGATAAAAAGCGTCAGCTAAATGAGGTAATGTTAATGTTACAAGTACATTTTGTGATTCTCTGTTATGTCTTCTGGGTTGTTTCAGGTTTGGCAGCTAGGCTCTTCGTCTCCCAATTTCACTTTGGAGGGCCACGAAAAAGGAGTCAATTGCATTGACTACTACAGCGGAGGGGACAAGCCCTACCTCATCTCTGGGGCTGATGACCGCCAAGTCAAGATTTGGGACTACCAGGTTAGAAAATGGTTCATTCACATCTTCATGGGAATGCTAAAAGATAGTCTTTTGTTACATTATGTTCAATAAAAAGTTAAACATTATGGCTTACTGAAAGAGTTGATAGCTGTAAAAGAATGTGTCTGCTGCGTCCTTCCTGTGAGCATCCTCTTGCTGTGTGTCGATATATATAAATGTTTCTACTGTCGTCTTCTATGTACTGTAGAACAAGACTTGTGTTCAGACTCTGGAGGGCCACGCCCAGAACGTCTCTTGTGTCAGCTTCCATCCAGAGCTGCCCATCATCATCACTGGATCAGAGGATGGTGAGCAGGAATCCCATTCATCTTCGCCCCTGTACAGAAACACCCCAGAATGCATCTCATCTCATCTCATGGCCTCATTGAACATTGCTTTACACAACGTTGTCCCCTCCCTCTGCAGGTACCGTGCGTATTTGGCACTCAAGCACTTACCGACTAGAGAGCACTCTGAACTATGGCATGGAGAGAGTGTGGTGTGTGTGTGGCCTAAGGGGCTCCAACAATGTGGCGCTGGGCTACGATGAAGGCAGCATTATTATAAAGGTGAGCGAAAGAATAAGTAGTTCTTAAAAAAGGTCTTAATCATAAACTCGAAACACTCACTATGAAAAGTGTCATTACCCAAAACTAAAATGTGTCTCTGCTCTGTCTCCCGCTGCTGTGTAGGTGGGTCGGGAGGAGCCAGCCATGTCCATGGACTCCAATGGAAAAATCATCTGGGCTAAACACAGTGAAGTACAGCAAGCCAACCTGAAGGCCATGGGTGACGCTGAGATCAAGGACGGAGAGAGACTGCCGTTGGCTGTCAAAGACATGGGCAGCTGTGAGATTTACCCCCAAACCATCCAGCACAACCCTAATGGAAGGTATGTGTACGCTCACGCCAGACCCTTTGACTGGTGATGATTTAGTTTTTTTTGAGAAACAGTAAAAAAAAACAAACGAGCAGAATACATGTTTGTTTTTGGTAGTGCTATTACGTTAAATTTACTGTAACATCTCGTGTCACTCATTTGTGCATTTCTGTGTGCACCAGGTTTGTTGTGGTGTGTGGAGATGGAGAGTATATCATCTATACTGCAATGGCTTTGAGAAACAAGAGCTTCGGCTCAGCGCAGGAATTTGTCTGGGCACATGACTCATCTGAGTAAGTATGCTGTTTGAAATAGAGGTTTTAATGTAAGTGAGATACGTCCCTGCTTTCTACCTCTGTGCCAGAGAGTTAACTGCTACACTCGTTGTTTTTAACAGATATGCCATCAGAGAAAGCAGCAGTCTCGTCAAAATCTTCAAAAATTTCAAAGAAAAGAAATCTTTTAAGCCTGACTTTGGAGCCGAAGGTAATGTGAACATGATGTATTGTAGACTTGTGATTTTGGAAGTGGATAGTTCCCACTATCTTCCTCACTGCATATATTCCTATTCTTCGCTCTAGGGATCTATGGAGGTTTCTTGCTTGGGGTGAGGTCAGTGAATGGCCTGGCTTTTTACGACTGGGAGAACACGGAGCTGATCCGCCGCATCGAGATCCAGCCCAAACATGTGAGATTGGCTTCATTTTTGTTTTAGGTCCTGGCCCCAGTATGGTATAAATGTAGATTCTGGCAATGTTTACCAA